TGGGCATATTCCGAAATTCATTTGTTGCACACGGTTGAGTGGTGAAGACTACAGCAAGGGCAATAAAAAGGACGCCGTTTATTTGATCGGTCGCTTCGCGGTTAGTTTGGTATATATATATATATATATATATATATATATATGTAATAGTGGTTTGAAAAACGAACTGGGGTCAACTGTGTGTCTTGTTGCCATGATATGTTTTGCAACAGATGATCCTGGATTTCTTGCAATCAGTTCACCTGCAGTTGCGGTGACGCATCCATAGGCAGAACAAACCGTCAGCTGTCACAACGGANTCATGGCAACAAGACACACAGTTGACCCCAATTCGTCTTTCAAACCACTATTACGTAATCGAAATGCAAAACTTTTAGCGATTAGTGAAGCACTGCTTATTCGATTACATCACCCGACCCTATGCGCACAGAAGTTCTTGATACAAGCGATCCACTTACCGTGGAGCTGACCTTCTACTACTAAATTTAGTAATCATTGTATGCTTGTACACGGTTGTTCACCAAAATCGATTAATCCGATGTGCTTTATATGTGCCTGTTTGTTTTAATTCAGCGACTGAGAAGATTAAACGAAATGTTAACATCTTGCTACGTTTGTCTTCTTTCTGTTTTGATGAAACAATTCGTTTAATCAGCGGTGAATCATGGCTGATTGTCACAATCTTTATCACCCCTCCAATTGGAGGGGGACCTTAACTGCCACTGACGAATGCGAGTCTGTTGTGCCGAGCGGCGTTGACATAGACTGAGGATTACTTGATATCAATCATAATATGTCTCAGTGAAAATAGCATGTTCTCTTTTTCAAGTATCCGTTTTACCTTAAGGGATTTCAGATTTTGTTTCGCTTCTGCTGATTCAGAGCAATCAAAAACTGAGGAGCTAATGAACCAATAAAAAACATTTTCTTTTGGTTTAATACCAATTATTTGCTAAATTCAAGAAACCCAGATCCTTCTCTCGGTTCTAGTTTGTAACCTGCAAAATCATAGAATAATGATTTTTTTAAAGTTTACTAATTGTTCCTTTTTGGTTTCCATTTCTTTTGCATTTCTCATTTCGTTGTGACGCTTCATTGTTCCTCAAATTCTGTAACTCAGGTGGTATTGTATCCCACAGCTGCTAAAAAGTACATGTGGATCTTCGGTGAACCGGTCGATGTACCGATCAAGACAATGCTCAAACTTTTGTCCGCGCATCCAATCAAGACGATGAATGTGGCTTTTTTCCGTTATTTGCCCATACTACATCAGGAGGATTGCAATGATGATAGTATGAACAAATTACTGCGTGACACGGCTATTCACTTTGGGTACTGCGATTACAGTCCGTTACCGGTAAGTGTCACTGGACATGAGACGAGTAACTCCAAAGATCTTGATAAATCCCAGCATTATCATTTGTGCATACCATAAGACATCATTTATCTAAAGCAATATAGCGATGCGTAATAATTGGTTGATTGGTGATTGAAGAGCTCAGTTACTGGCAAGTGCAGTACTAGTCTGAATCAGATTACGCTGGCCCAGGGACGGAAACCTCATTTAGAACCCAGTTTTTGGTTTGTTCCGAAACCCAATCGTGCAATCATGCTGTCTACTTAAATGGCTTCGTTTTCACAATGAAACTAGATTATATATGAACAGGCTTTTAGAGGTGGGGATTTTGAGCGATTGGCACGCGTAAGTATGCTCGGTTTCCCCTTGAATTTCGAAGCAATTGCTATTCGCGAATAGAGACCCTTTCCCTGGAAATGAAAACACTTTAATCACTCTGGTTCTGCCTTGATGCGCCCGATCTTTCTCGTGTGTTTGTCTATGTTGCAAGGCATTGGTAAACTTTAGTTGAATATTCTATTCGTCTGAAAGAAACACCAGTTGAGATGCGGCTAACTGGTCGGGAAAATAATCACTACAGGGCTTCTCCATTCTCTCTTAGATCAAAATTTATCACGAGGACAGTTTGCTTCCGTGCAGCACAGGGGGAGTTTTGTAGTGAGCCATTGTGAGACAAGTTTCTACAGTCCAGCTCTATTGTTATATTCATAGACTGTATGTATACCAAACAACGGTTTTATCAAAACCATTGCTCAAACATGACAGAACCTTTACCTAGTAATAAAACTGTGTACGCACTTGACCCAATGGTGACTGTACATTGTTATCCACGGAAAAAATCCAAAACACTTTGACATAACGATATGGCCTATAGTCTTCATTTATACCCTTACTGATTGAAGATTTTGGCGGTTCAGCTAAATACTGAATGGCAAATTTGACGAAAATAAATCAAAATTAAACTGAATGATCGACATCCACAGTTGTTCATACGTTCCTTGTAACGCTTATTCACCGATCTCTTCTCTTCGAACCGTTATATCTGCTGGGACTGACCAGGAGCGCGTTGCCATACTGATCACCGTCATGAATCTATATGCTCATGTGAGACACTACACGACCAACTACTATGCACCACATACGCCCGACATTTTGTGCTCTGCAATACCAACGCAAACTGATCAAGCTGGTCCCATTGCACTCAATCTCAGCAAGGAGGTAAGTTCCAGTTCATTGCCCCGAAGTGTTTTTCCTAATAGCCTACCTTTGAAAGAAATATATTACGAAAACCTGAGGATGAATAGCTTTTGACATGAAAGAAAACATCAACTGGCATTAGTATACAACGTAGACCGTCTTCTGTTAGCATCATCAACGTTGAATACCCAAATACAGTTGCTAATTACGCCTATAAATCTATTAATTTCAATTATATAAAACAGATGCAACGATTCAATTTGAATATGAATTGATATCGCCTGAAAGAGAGTAAATACGGTAAACCACCTCTCTGAACACACATGGGATATAGTCTGACTGTAAGCACCAGCACCGCTGATATATTCGAATAGAAACCCAATAGCAGACTTATAGTTTGTTTCATTTTCAGCCCGTTCAATTTTGTGGAACTGCCAAAGCTCTATTTATTATTGTTATCAAACTTAAACTGTATTAACTCAGTATACAATGACAAACAGTATCAGATGCTGAAATAAGCCTGATGCATCAATCAAAGTGCAGTGTTAAATTGGCATGTATATATCTGCGGAGAAAATGATGTATTCTGCTGCAAATGCCCACTGTATGAGCAGTGGAAGAAAAATGGGCATATTTCGGGACTAGTAATCAAATTGACTGAGTTAATATACATGTTTTTGCAACAGACTAAACCAAATTGATTTGAATCAGTTACTTTAGTTAGCTAACATTCCATTATTGCCACGAGAAATAGCCTATAAGGGACTGCAGGAGATAAAATATCACTGATTTTGAGAAGCCTTCGTATGAGCTAAATAAGGCAGTGAGAAATAAACTAAGGCATCTAAATTCACAGTACATTGTTTTTGTTTAATTATGTGAAACTGATATACCGACTTAAAAGCAGTGTGGAAGAAATAATTGGTAGCGGCTTTATTAATTGTATTTAGCAGCTGACTACTTAAATGTTTGACAGTAGTCATTTTGGATAAGAGCTTCTAACACCCTTTCTTAACAATGAGCACATTTATTACCACTGAAGGATCCCGTGAAAACTGTGAAATAAAGAACTGCAAACGTACCCAATGGATCCATCTACATCTGTTTGAATCCTTAAAATTCTGTAAAGACCTTATCTGAGTTGACTCTGTAGAACAACCTCAATCTCATTTGTCCCTCTTTTTGGATTGTTCAGTGCACTGAAATTGTCCAATTTTCATGGGAAAATAAAGAAAAGAATTTATAATTCAAAAATTATCAGCTCTTTTTGACTGACATAACTCTGCGATCTGTTTTCTTCGGAAAAACTTTTCAGTAAAAAAAATTACGGTTGTTGAATTATGCCATTGCATCTGTCACTCACCACTTCGCATCGTCGTGTTATCGGTTGGACTATCTCAGAATTTCCCACTGAAAAGAAAGAGGTTTTCAGTTGGCATTCAAAACGGAATTGGAGATATAAAGGAATAGGAGTATCGTTCTGTTTGCTGGTTTTGAAGTTAGATTAGTGTTGCTTGTTTCTTGCTGAGCTTAGGGTTCTTACCGCGGAAAATTGAATCGGAAATTACGAAGTCGCCCTCCAGAAATATTTGCAATCCAAGGCTATCGGATAACAAGGCTTGAATATGTTAAATTTGGGTTGCTGTAGTGAAATCCGAACAATAGAATTTTAGGTATGTAAGACCATGACCTATACTGTATGATCGTCTATTCAGAACCAAAAATATCACATTTAACATATCATCTAATGCAATGATGAAAATTTTTCGATCTCTTTTCCCAAGAAATCGAGTAATTGAACACCAACTTTTGCTTGTGTGCCAAGCAGAAAAAATGCCTGAACGAAACGAGCTTCACACACAACCCAACGCAATCAACATGACGTTTGGTTCTCTATGCTCGTTACCTCCTGGATTCAGTTTGACAGTGATTTTTGTGTGCACTAAATGGAATGATTCAAGTAAATCATAAGTTAGTGAAACGTAAAGGAGCTCGCCCCCGAAATTCACTGTATGCGGTCAAGGGATCGGTCGATGCATCGAAACCAAGATCATCTAACGGATTTCTAGTGATTTAAGAATTAGCAGTTATACATTAACACAATGAAATTACAGACATATATCGAGTCTCACCACACCCCTCGAGAGCAATAGGGTTTCGAAGGCTAACAACCACAGAGGCGATTAGCATCGGACTCATGAAGCCTGAGCTATGCGCACAACGTAAACTGATTCAAGCTCCCAAACTCTCCTGGCCAGAGGACGAGAAATTTGCTTGTTCACACGACCCTGACGTAACGACTGTGGTTATGTGATCCAAACAGCGCACATATTTGGAGTTCTCTTGAGCTCAATGCCAAACACATCATTCATCCACTTTCCTGTTTTAAATTGTTTCATATAAATGTGATTGTAAAGGCTTGAAAAGGAATCCATTAAAAAAATGTATGTTCACCTTCATTGTGTTCTTAATTAATGGGCATATTCCGTGATTTGAAAGTAGAGTAGTTCCAAAAGCCACAAATTCGTGAATATTTGTACCGATAAAGAACAAAGCAACATGGAAGGTGACAGTCTTGCGTTATTTACTTCAGAAACATACAACCCGCCTGTTCGCTGCTTTTCTTATCCTGAACTATCGTATGATGCCGAGGGAGCTACTTCGGCGTGTTTGTGGTCATGGACTGTGATGACTATACTAATCACTGTGTAGCACAACCAATTCTTCCATCGATAGAATAAAAACCATTTGGTTTGATGAGAAGTTCATCTTCTGAGCTATTCACGTGACTTAGTGAGTTGAATTGGCGATACGTTTACCTGAACTGCACTCAAACACTATGTAGGGAGGTTTTGTATTGGTGGGTGCCTGTAAAACTATTACATCATACGGTTCTATGTTGTTATGCAAACGGTTCCGTGATCTCACAGCCCTGGAAAATATAGTGACTGTTTAAAAATCATATGATACAATGGAAACTAATTTGCAGGGACTAATATTCGGATCCCAATGGAACTGATACCGAAATTTCCATGTTCTATTGGTATCATGTGGCAGTTCGTTGATTGATAATTTTCCTTTCTCAACAATGAATGTACAATAGTCTATTCAATAAAAGGAGGCAAAGAAAGTGAATCATTGAGTGAAAGAGAAGAAATGCCAGTTCTCAGACTAAAACACTCTATTGCAGTCATTACATGGGAAACTTTTCCACGCAACAGATAGCACGCAGCCTACGTAAATCTTTCTCACCGAATGCCGGAAATCACCTATTGTATGAGAAACTTGATTCAGCTGTTGAACTCTGTTGACGGACAAGTTTTTTCCACCCCAATAAGACTAAGAACTAAGACAGATCAAATGCAAACGAATATTTTTCAGTCACAATGTCACTACATTGTATGTTCTACCTTCTGGCTGGAAGTGAATGTGAAAGGAACAACACGCTTCTGTAAGATGTGGGTGTACACTACCACTATAAAGTGTCGAGAATTGTTGCAACGAATTAATTTGTAGTTTCGTTAGAGGGTATTTATTAGTCTATATATGCATCACTCCGACCCGCTTTGATGCCATTTAATTCAGGTATGTTTATATACACTATACTACACTAGCGCGTTTGAAAGTAATCAGTTTCTCCATGTATAAAATTAGCTTAGTGTGTTCAAACTACCCGGAACTATGACACTGCATCACTTTTGACTAAAACCCTTGTTTCTTTCTCAACATGCAGTTAGGAGTTCTTCACAAGTTTTCCGGGTTGACATTTTACGCGTTGGAGACCAACGCGGATAACGTGACGCGATTTGTGGCGACAGCACGATATGGGGACAATTCAATCACCCAAACCGAGGATGGCGTAGAAGTTGGCAAACAAGCTCTCGTATCCGGCCTGTTCCCGAATCGATTTCGCAATTTTACCAATCAAATGCTGACTGTAGGCATGGTTTTGGTAAGCACGAGGTGCTTCTGCTTGGTTCAATAAATATGAGGGTATTGTGATAAGTTTACATCAATTGGTTGAAACGTGTCTGAAAAATTTGGGAATACACACTTACTAATCGAACGTTCACGGTAGGATTACCGGTGGAGACACAAATGAGGCACGGTATGATAATGATTTCCACAAAGCAGGAAATAGCTGGGTAATTCCCTTTCTCGGTCATCACACACAATTTAAACAATAAATAGAATAATTTCATCTGATTATTTCTATTTCATAACACTTCAAATCTCACGTGAGATTACCATGCTGGATCTTCTGTACAATAACACTATGCATTTAGAACACCAAATCGAATAAGATGATTATTTCCGCATAAGGTTTGTACCTTTATTTGAGTAGGATTTTCCAAACTTTGAAAATCTATCCTGCTTCTCAGTTTGTGAATATATTCATATCAGTAGAACTAACTTCTGCGTCGTTTGAATAGTTTATCTCACCGATAACGTAACTTTTGTATCAAAACACCGAGAACTAATGTATTTATCTTAAGTTGATTGTNTCTTTGGATGACACTCAAAAAACAGAGATCGGCAATTTTCCTCGATTCGTTTCTCTCGAGTTGTTAAATAACTGAAACAGTTTATAATCCTTAATTTCAGGTCCCACCTTTCGTTATGGACTATCAACTGTCTCCGTCCGGATACTTGACCAAAGCGCGAGGGATGATGATTGATCTAATGGATATTCTTGCCGAGAGATTTAATTTTCGGTAAATTTATCTCCCTCCCCCATACCAACCCTCGAGTTTACAACATAATATCACAAAAATCAATCTTCTGATTTATATATCAATTTTGGGCTGCTCTTCGAACAGACATAACCGTCCTACTTTCATTTTATTCTGCACTCCCCCTTCCCAACGTCACACAAGTTATCGAATCTATCCGGCCTCAGACGGGCACTTTGGTGAATTCTCTCTTCGAGGTGAATGGACCGGACTGATAGGTGATCTACAAAAGAAGGTATGCTTTTAACTCATGGAACGTGCATCAAACAACTTTGATCTATTGTGATCTCGTGTTGAACATTCAAATCGTAAATTGTAAATACATGTTATTAGCAACTGTCAGATGGTTTTATAACGGCTGAAAAACTTTCACGATGTTGATTTACCTTGTACTATCCGAGTGATATATGTAAAGTTCACAACAAGATTTGCAGTTAATAAAGTAATGTTCGTATTTCATTCCTAGCATAGAGTCACTTTTTTCCTTCACAGCACAGCAGGTCTTCATTTTATCACCCCAGCTAAATGTAATTAAAAATCAAGAAACAACTACAATATTGTTAAGAACTGGATGACAGTACACGCCGATGATCTACTAGTAACCTGTCAGCATCCGGAATTTCTCCATGCGTAGCATTAATTCAGTTCAGCTAGCTTATCTCCGTTGAATGTTCTCAGTAGACGAAGACTTGCGAGCATCACACTGAACTACCTTCCTGGTACCTACCTTTCGTATCAGCAACAACATCATCGTCACTGAAATCTTTATAAGCAGGATCCTTTGTTGAAAAACGGACGGCTTAAGAATTAAATCTGAGCCACTAAGTCACTCGGGAGGTAAATCTAAATTGAAATTGGGGACTTATGTCCAAAGATTTGCCGGTCTTTATTTTCTATAATATAATCGAACAGAAGCGCCTTACAGGTGTTGACCAAACTCGTGCAACATCACCCTCATTTTGAAAACCTATTTGAGCTTGCAATACCATACTTATATATAGATGGTTATGAGTACAGTGTATTTATTCCTGACTCTTTATCTCCAACATCTACGTTCTTAGTTCATTTCTATCACCATTTGAATGTGCGCGACCTTGAGTGTCGCTATAAAATTTGCAAAAGTTCGAAAGTTACAGCTCTGATTTAGAAAATATTTTGGGCAAAGTAGTAGTAGGTTTTCTACTGTGACCTTGTTATCTTACAACTGATGCATTTGCAAAAATCGTTGAAATCGCGAAATGGTACATTTTAATGGCATGTGGCTAATAGAAGCAGTGACACAAGTGGATATTATATCGGATATGTTGCATCTGATGTGCTGCAATATCATATACAATCCCGTGAATGAGGCTGGAAGAATAAAGAATTGAGAGGAACAAATGTAATGAAAATCAGGATGTTGCACGAGTTTGGTCAATACCTGTAGATCAAGTTTTGGCTTCGAAGAAGAAGACAATCACTTTGATTATTTCATTCTCATGTGGAAAACAGCTTTTACCGAAAATACAAAATCGTCAGTGTTACCTCTGCTTGACCATCAATCCGCGATTTATTGGATCGGGAAAGAGATGCCAGTTTATTGGATCTTACGGAATTTGAGGCGGGATTAATTGGACGACCGCAGGAACACGATGCAATGTTCACTGTTCCCGGCACCAGCAAGCCCAAAACATAACTAACTGACCGTTTTGCTATTTCTAACCTTCCTTACACCCTTTGTCGTTCCAACTCCAATTTTCAGAAAAGGTGTGTAAATTATGTAGATCTATCTGTGGCAAATTGTATTATCCATCCCATTGGACCATCAAAACATGTTTTGAATAGAACACAATGGGCCGATCAAGAGTTGGTTTAAACGATTCATCTTCTCTAAATAATTCATCATAACCCGGAGGCTAGTGCTGAGATGAGCGAGGTCTGTGGCCTGCAACAGGCTCGTAAAGATGGATTATGCTATATCGTATAAATCGAAAATGAAAAACGGTCTGGTCAGCTGCTTGTTGGCGTAGTGGGTAGAATTCTTGCGTCCCGCCCATGAGGTCCCGGGATCGACCCCCAGTTAGGTCGGTGGGTTCGCACTGCTGATGAGACCCTACCAGGTCGAAACAGCTGTCCAATGCTTCCGAGCTTTTCAGTTCACGCTTCATTTGACATATGCACAACGAATTTCCCCTTTGGAATTCATCACAACTCAAGTTAAAAAACAGGGAGGTTGCAAAATGTATGGAGAGAAATAAACTTGAAAAAATAGGCGATATCTCTTGGGGAAGATAAGGATTAGAGAGCCAAAATAGGGTTGAATGAAGGACAATGGGAGACGCATCAACTTCACAAGTTGATTTGTACATGGAAAGTGGGTGTATATATGCGAATTCCCACCGCTTCTGCTTTGGCCAGGACGCAATCTGTAATCCCTTTAGATTGTTGTTTTGGCAGGCACGGCCGATGGGGCGTAACACCCTGATCAAGTCAGCTAAGTGACACGATTCGACATGATATGAACAGATTGCGCTTGTGATCGACTTTGTCACCCCAATATGCAAATAAGCCAGACGAAGCTCACGAACTCGGTGAGTTAAGCGTCTGCTTGTGAGACTGTTTTACACTGACTTGTGGGACCAAGTGAAAGAGCAAACGCATAGGGCGATCGCAGAACTAGGATTATCATCTCTCCAAGTTGGAGGCTAATGCCCGCTCTTGACGCGGATACGACAATGAGCTGGCCAGATAAAATCTGTGGTTGATTGCAATAGTCAACTTTTGAATGGCTATTTCCGTCATTGGGTCACCTGCAAAGGTCTTTTCCTTAGCTCCAACAGCGTTCCCTCCTTTATTCAGAGTTTCAATATGTCACTGTAAATCATCCGGTGTATCGATTTTTCGGAAGATCTGGTATAACAACTCGATTTCCTTTTGAAATGTATCCGCATAGCAGACTTTATGCTCTTTGAAGGCGAAATAGCGACGACTGCATATTGTCCTTTCAAATGACACCGGCTGGAACTGCTGAAATTTGTGTGCCTTCCTCGTCGGAGTTGTCCAGTCGGTGATCAGCATCATATGTGCATCCCATTCGATGAGAAGTCATTGAGTGAGCACAGCGTTGTATGTTCTCTGTTCAATGACGAAGTCGTACATCAGTGAACGATCAAGCGATAGAGCACGATGACAAAGATCATGAATTGTACCCAAGTCAGTAGTAATCCTTGCTTGAAGTTACCATGGGTAATAGTCAGATGGATTTAGGCGCCAGTTAAGCTTTGCATACCAAAAGTTATAATGTGTGAATACTCTCCTTTGGAACTCAGCACCACTGTCAAATTAGTTGTAGAAATCTCTACCATCTTCCGTCTTTCACGACGGTCCATATTTCATCTACAACTCCAAGTACTTGGTCTGCAACTACGAATATCTCTAGAGCACAATGGACTTTCAGCATGTTATAATTGATCTTTGTACTGAGCACCATGCAATTATATATGATAAAAATAATGGCTTTACTCCTGTCAGATGTTGGATAACTCCTGCTTGGCTTCGCCAAACTGTAGTACAAATTCTGGAAATCGATCTTCGTTTTAGTTTAGTTATAATGCTTCAGCATCAGCTGTTTTGATACTTGTAATCCACATACATCCACGGCGGGTACTTCCAAAAGCTACTTCTAACAGCCTTGTATTTACGATTGAAATCGGCTTTTAAAATAGGATTTTCACAGCAATAAAAAAATTCAAATGCGTTGGTGGGAGGTTTTCATTTGTCCGGGTCGGGTAAAGTGAGTGTATTCCCTTGGGAAATCTGAGGAATGAAGCCTCACTTCAAAACCAGTGTGGTTAGGCTTGTATAACTTTGCTTGTAAACTATTCACTGTTTTAACTTTTTACACTTTGTAGACTGTTTCAGACTGGTGATTTGAAATACACTATTATTTTGATCCCAGTAGCCATATACGCATTATCACAACTGCTACTGTAATCACCTTTATGGTCAACAGAAAATAGTCTGATATCTCAACACGGAATGCCATTGGTTTGTAAATGTATGTTGCGTTAATTTTATTTAAATGGGATGATCATAGCAGCTTCTTTGAGAAAGAAGTAAAAGAGTAAATTATAGTGACTGACAACGCCTGAAATCTCCATAAAACGTGCTATTAAATAGAAAAATGTCACAAGCGAAAGTTGATTATTTTGGGGCCGTGCTCTCAGTTGCCCTTTCTCGCTGTATTCTTCTCACGTACACTGCAGATGAGAGCCAACGGGTATTTTGAATGAGGTCAGACATCATATCCAGTCTAGAAAATGCGAGTCCGACCCGAAATTGTTTGTCCATCAAATCGCACATGCATTCACTGGGGCATGTATGAAGACTTTTTGTAAACCCAGTATGACCGATCTTAATAATGACAATGAGAGGTTTTAGTAAGAAGTTACATAAAATTGTCTATTTCTTCTCGATAAATCACAACAAGCCGTCACATATATAGTGCAGCTATCTGATTAGCCGATTACAGCTCGGTTCATAACAATAACCGAGGCGGGCAAGCAGAGCAAGCGAATGTGAAAAGACTATGGTGGTAGTGAATGGCAGAGTCGTAGAGGGGATGAGAGACTAAAGGTCAAATAAAATAACTGTCGAGAGATGGACTGATTAAAATGAAAGTTGTGAGCTATGGTGAGAGAGCGGGATGAAGACACGTAAGATACACTATAAACTATATGTCAGGCATAGCAAGTAATGTAATCGGGGGGCCACGGTGGAGAAAAAAATAAAATAATTAATAGTTAAGAATGTGGTAGGTGATACTGGATAAAGGGGTTGATGCGTAAGGTGCTCTGTTTTGTGCACAACCAATCCACTGTGCAGACCAGAGCAATAAGAGGCTATGGATCAGCTGCTTTTGCTTGCATTACTCTTGACTGAAAATGCGAATTGCAATCGCTTCGACCGTGGTTAAAAGGGGTCTTCTAATTCCCTTAGAATACCGCCGCGGTAAAGTATGTGAATTATTTTGAATACATTCACTTTATTCATAACATGCCCGCTGTCCACGAGAGTCTTAGCTTACAACTTTCATCAACATTTTAATCTGCCCATCTCTCTACCGTTTTCCATTTGACCTTTGTCCTCTCAACCCCTCCACGAGTGTAGCATTGACTATCACCAATCATATCAGATTCGTTTGCTCTGTTTGCTCGCCTCTGTCATTGTTCTAAACTGAGTTGCGATCAGCCAATCACATGTCTACGCTATGATCGCCCTATATATGTAACCGCCCGACGCGATATATCAGCAAGAAATTTCTTCGCGAACACCGTTTTCTACATTATCTATGGGAATATTCTATTCTATTCTATTCATTTGTCTACTTTAATTCTCCATGATCAGTCAATTGTTTATACTGAGTAGACGAATGATAGAATAAACGAGGTGTGTGATGTGTTAATCAACAAATATATGATAAAATAAGTAGATAATTGAGTAAACCATTACCTTAACTTGTACTCGTTGACGGTTGCCTAAAGCAACGTCTGTTAGAACAAGGTAAAAAGAAT